CTGAAGGTCCTGTCGAGGAAGTTGTGGAAGAAATTATTAAATCCTTGCCAGCACCAGAACATGTAAAACCAACCGAAGTAGAAGAAGTACGTGAACAAGTGACTGTTACTGAAGAAATAACCAAAGATGGCAAGCCGAAGAAAATCACAAAGAAAAAGGTTATCAAACGCAAAGGCAAAGAGCAACAAGTCAGTGAAGAAGTCACGGTTGAAGAGAAAGGTAAACGTCCAGTGACCACAGTAACGGAAGGTCCTGTCGAGGAAGTTGTGGAAGAAATTATTAAATCCTTGCCAGCACCAGAACATGTAAAGCCAACCGAAGTTGAGGAAGTTCGTGAACAGGTGACCGTTACTGAAGAAGTGACGAAAGAGGGTAAACCAAAGAAGGTCACTAGGAAGAAGGTTATTAAACGTAAAGGCAAGGAACAACAGGTTACTGAAGAAGTTACTGTTGAAGAAAAAGGTAAACGTCCTGTAACCACAGTTACTGAGGGTCCCATTGAAGAAGTTGTGGAAGAAATAATCAAGGCGTTGCCAGCTCCTAAACGGGTACAACCATCTGAAGTAGAAGAAGTTCGCGAACAAGTGACTGTCACACAAGAAGTAACCAAAGAAGGCAAACCAAAGAAGGTTACGAAGAAGAAGGTCATCAAACGTAAAGGCAAAGAGCAACAGGTGACGGAAGTAGTCACTGTTGAAGAACAAGGAAAGGCTCCTGTGACTACAGTCACTGAAGGTCCCGTTGAAGAGGTTGTTGAAGAAATACTGAAACCTCTTGTTGCTCCAGAACGAGTTATACCGAAGGAAGTAGAAGAAACTCCTGAAGAGGTATTTGTCACAGAGGAAGTAGTGAAAGAAGGAAAACCAAAGAAGGTTATCAAGAAGAAGATTAAGAAGGGTGCTGTAGAAACTGTATCTGATGTCACAGTAGTTGAAGAAGCTCCCGAAGCTCCCACTGCTGATGGTAGAAAACCTATGAAACTTCAACGTATGAAAGTTACCAAAGTAGAAACCACAAAACTCGAAGCCCAAGAAGTATCTTTGAACAAGCCTCAATTTGCACAAATTACATTGCGCAAAACGCCTAAGAAGCCTAAACCGGTGGAAAAGAAGGAAAAATTCCCTCGTGTCTTGCTTCGAAGTCGAATCGTTGCTATCCAATTTCCTCCTGCTCCTAGATTCCTGAAGATCTCTGAGATCGAGCCGAACGAAGTTCAAAATGGTATCCTGTCACGCAACGTTGAAGAAGCTGAAACCTTACCAAAACTGAAAAAGAAGAAGGTCAAGCATTTGAAGAAAGAAATAGCCAAGCTGGAACAACTGGACAAAGAATTTGAAGAACTGAAGAAGGAATTGCCAATAGAGAAAGTCGAAGAACCTGTTCCATTAGAAAAACCAGAGAAGAAAGTGAAGAAGAAGAAGAAACCAGAAGACAAAGAGAAGGAAGCTTTGAAGCCTCAGTTAATGAGGATCAGTATCAAAGAACAGAAAGCAATCAAACCTAAGATAGAAGAACCAGCAACTCCCTTATTCGCACAAATCAAATTGAAAAAACCTAAAGCCACACCTAAGACACGTGGAAAAGACGAAGGTAAATTCCCGAAAATTCTACTGCGCAGTCGCATTACGGAGCACGAATGGCCTCCATCCATTCAATATCCAAAGATAACCGAAATGGAACCAATCTACGTGCAAAATGGAATATTATCCCGCACAATGGAAGAAGCATTGCAGATCAAGAAGATAAAGCGCAGAAAAGTAAAGCTTCCAGAAAAGGAGCTGACGGAATTAGAAAAACTGGACCAAGAGTTCGAAGAATTAAAGAAGGTTCCTCTAGAGAAAGTTGAAGAATTAGCTCCGTACGAACGCAAACCAAAACCACAAGAAGTCGAAGAGGAGAAACCAAAGAAACTGAAAATCGGCAAAGGAAAACGTCGACCCGAGGAAGGAGAAGAACCGGAAACAGTAAAACTGAAGAAAATACCAGGAAAGGAACCAGAGCTTCCAGAAGAATTAGTTCCCTCTCCAAAGAAGAAAGACGAAGTGGACAAACCTGAAAAGAAGAAAGAAGAACCTGAGTATCCAGAGTTGAAACCATTCGAGCCTTACGACATAGACAGAAGCGATGCCGAACTGGAAGAAAGAGAAAAGCCAGAATATCCTGAACCAGAGAAACCTAAGGCCAAGAAGGTTCCAACCAAAAAACCAAAGAAGGATCGCAAAGTACCTGATCAAGAGACTGAAGCTGTTCCAATAGTACCAGGTGTTCCAAAACCAAAAGAACCTGAAGAAGAAGAAGAAATCAAGAGAAGAATCCCTGAACGACCACCTCCGGAAGAAAAGCCGGAAGAAATTAAGCTAAAGCCCTGGAAGAAACCTAAAGAGCCTGAAGAAGAAGAAAAGAAACCAGAGGATTACATCAAATTCGTTCCCAAAGACGACGACATTGTCGAGACAGTCGAAGTTATCACGACTGTTGACATCGAAGAGACTCCAGAGAAGAAACAGAGGAAGATTAAGAAGAAGAAAACGACGACCAAACGCGGTGATGAGAAGCCTAAAGTCGTGGAAGAAACGACGATAGAGGAAGAAGGCGTTGAGCCGATCGTTACCGTCGAAGAGTTCGTCGAAGAGAAGCCGAAACCGGCAGAGATAGTCGAAAAGCCCGCGCCTGTGGAAGAGATCAAAGAAGAAATCGTAACAAGCGAGATCGTCGAAGATGGAACAAAGAAAACTGTGCGCAAAAAGCGCGTGACAAGGAAACGCGAAGGTAAAGAGAAGGTCACCGAAGAGGTGATCGTCGAGGAGGAAGGTAAAGCACCACTGACAGCAACAATAGAACTCCCCGAAGACCACACTACACCAGATTTACACGAAAAACCCAAACACAAAAGACCGATTAAACCAAAAGCCGGTGAAAAAGTGCCCGAAGGTAAGCTGAACTTCTTACGTATTGCTATCCACCATTACAATCTTAGACGTATACAACGTACAAAAGCAACATTCCACTTTCTATTCTTAACAAAGAACAGGAAACAAAAGACATACCCGACAAAATATGTATTTTCTACAGCATATATGATTTTTCGATGCATTTACTGGTCGGCTAACTGGTCAGCTTTCATACGATTTGATTCCACTCAATCATGAAAACTAGTTTCGCCGAGGAGAGCTGACTGCCATTTCAATTACTTTGTTAGTTTATATACAGATTTAAAGCATTTTGTTGTTATTCCAGATGTCGCGGAGAAGACGATTCAACAGGTAAGTTTGTTGACCAGTTGCTTCCACGATAAGTTGTCGTCCATGAAATGTCATTTGAACTCGGGCTCATTTAAACACACTTGTATAATACAATCTTGTAAATAGTACAATACAAAAATTTGTTCGACAATATGTAGTTAGTTCAATGTTTAACAGTAATTATCAGTTTAATGTTTAACAATAATTTAATCGTGTACTCTACTCTTCTATTCTCACAAAACTTACATCGCAAAGAATGACATTTCACATACTACAACGAACAGTTAGGATTACTTTGTGGTTAACATATGTGTTCATTATTTGTTCACTTTAATTAACCCAAATAGGAGGAAGTCGTTGAGGAAGTCGTTGAGGAAGTCAAGCAGAAGAAAGTCCCCAAGAAGAAGAAACCAGTCACGGCTAAGGATGAGGTGACGGAAGAAATCGTCGAAGAGATCACGATTGAGCAGCCCGAGAAGCAGAGAATCAAACCCACCGTGGAAGAGGAAGAGACCGTGACAATCACCGAAATTGACGTGAAGAAAGCGCCGAAGAAGAAGAAAGAGGTCGTCATAAAAGAGGAGGAAGAAATCTTTGAGACAATCGAGACGCCCACGCAGAAGATCATAAGGAAGAAAATACGACCAATGAAAAAGGGAGAAAAAGAGGTCGTTGTGGAAGAAATAATAACGAAACCAAAAGAAGAAACCATCGAAATGGAGGAACAACAAATCGTGGAAGTGATTGAAACACCGACCAAGAAGATCGTTAAGAAGAAGAAAGCAGTTACGAAAGAAGACGGTGTTCCGGAAGAAGTTATAGAAGAAATTCACATTGAGAAGCCGCAGAAGGAAAAGGCAAAACCGCTCGTGGAAGAAGAAAAAGAAACGGTTAAAGTAACTAAAGTTGTACTGAAGAAAGCCCCTGAGAAGCCGGAAGAAATAATCGAGGAAGAAGAAATAATCGAAACGATTGAAACACCCACGAAGAAGATCATTAGGAAGAAACCGAAAGAGAAGAAAGACAAAGTGGTGGAAGAGGTGATAGAAAAGACGGTAGAAGAAGCTAAAGTTATGGAAGAACAAGAAATAGTCGAAATAGTTGAAACGCCTACCAAGAAAGTTATTAAGAAGAAGAGAGCAACGGTAAAGGAAGGCAAACCAGTTGAAGAAGTCGAGGAACTTGTCATTGAAAAACCTGTCAAGGAGAAGGCTAAAGGCGATGTCATTCCCAAAGAGGGTGTAGAAATCACGGAAATTATAACGGAGACGCCTGTCGAAGAGCTGAAGGAAGAAAAGGTTAAGCCGGAAGAAGCCAAGCCCTCGGAGATAAAAGAGAAGAAGGCCAAGGTGTCCGAAGTCACAGTTAAGAAGGCACCTAAGAAGAAGAAGCCAGTCACCGCGGTTGAAGCGGAAGAAGAGGAAGAAATTGTAGAAGAAATAACACTTGAGAAACCTAAGGAAGAAAAGGTGAAGCCAACTGTTACAGAAAAGGAAGGTGTTGAAATCACTGAAGTAGTTACCGAAGTAACTACGGAAGAGCTGCCTGAGAAAGTGAAACCAAAGAAGAAGAAAGTATCGGAGATTGAAGAAATAGAAGAAAAAGTGGTAACTAAGAAAGTACCAGTGAAGAAAGCGCCCAAAGAAGCTGTTCCGGAAACCGAAGAACAACCTGAAGAGAAAGTGGAAGAGCTCATTCCTGAAAAGCCAAAGAAGACCAAAGCCAAGAAAGAAATCACTCCGTCGGAAGGTATTATAACGACGGAAGTGGTTACTACAACCGCGGAAGAAACATTAGAGGTCGAGAAGCCGGAAGAAGACAAAGCTTTGGTGACCGAAGAAGAACAAGAAATAGCCAAAGTCGAAGAAAAGACTGTCACCGTTAAGAAGGCTCCAAAGAAGAAACTAAAACCGACGAAAGCTGAAGAGGAACAAGTAGAAGAAGTCGTGGAAGAAATAACAACAGAAGAGCCTAAGAAGAGGAAGGCGAAGAAGACAGTTATTCCAAAGGAAGAAATAGAAACGACTGAAGTGGTAACTGAGGTTACGACAGAAGAAATAGAAGAAGAGAAGCCAGAGGAAGAAAAGGCTGTTCCTAAGGAAGAAGAAAAGGTAGAAGAGGAAGCAAAAGTAACTGAAGTGCCTGTCAAGAAAGCGCCTAAAGAAAAGAAAAAGAAGAAGAAGGAAGAACCGATCACAAATGGCGAAGTAATCGAAGAAAAACTAAAAGAAAAGGAAATTCCTGAGGAGAAACCGGAAGAAAAGGAAATCCCCGAAGAGAAGAAACCTGAAGTAATTGAAAAGCCGAAAGAAGAAGTTCCAAAGGTACCTGAAGAGAAGGAAGTTCCTAAGGAGAAACCGAAGGAAGAAAAACCGAAGGTAAAGAAGCCAAAGGAAGAAAAGCCAATAGAGGAAAAACCGAAAGACGAAAAACCGATAGAGGAAAAACCGGAAGAGGTAAAACCGAAAGAAGAGAAACCGATAGAGGAGAAACCAAAAGAGGAAAAGCCGAAGGAAGAAAAGCCGAAAAAGAAGAAAGTTCCTGCCGAAAAGAAACCCACTCCATCAGAAGAGGTACAGGTAGAAGAAAAAGTGGAAGAAATACCAGAAGAAAAACCAAAGAAGGTAAAGGCTAAAAAAGAAGTCGTTCCAAAGGAGACTATAGAGACCACTGAAGTCATCCCTGAAGCGGTGCCAGAAGAATTATCAACAAAGAAACCTGAAGAACGCAAAGCAGTACCAGTCGAAGAAAAAGAAGAAAAGGTAGAGGTGACAGAAGTTCCGACAGAAAAGGCTCCTGAGAAGAAGGAAGAAGAAAAGAAAGTGCTGGAAGAAAAACCAGTTGAGAAGGTTCCTGAAAAACCAAAGGAAGTAAAAGAAAAGAAGAAAAAGAAGAAACCAGTTAAGAAAGATGAAATCGAGGAATGGGTGGAGCCAGAATATGAAAGACCTGTACTGGAACCAATGCCTGAGAAGATCCAATGGGAACCATCAAAGAAAAAGAAGGAAAAGAAAGAGCTACCAGCAGCTCTCCAAAAATTGGTTCCTGAAAAGATCGAGAGGAAAGAGATCAAACCAACAAAATTGAAGTACTCGGAACCAGCTGAAACGATTCAGTTCGCTGCGATAAAGCTGAAGAAGGTAGCAGTCACCAGAAAGAAGGAAGTAAGCAAGGTGAAGATCCCGAAGATCATGTTACGCAGCACGCTCCAGTACGTCACGGATTATCCACCGGAAATGCAGATTCCTGAGATATCATATCTGGAAGAAAATCCAGTACAAAGTGGTATACTTTCAAGAAACACTGAAGAAGCTTTGCAGGTCTTGAAGAGAAAAGTCAAAAAGGTAAAACTTCCAGGGAAAGAGACTACAGAACTGGAAAAATTGGATCAGGAATTCGAAGAATTAAAGAAGGTTCCTTTGGAAAAGGTTGAAGACAAATCGGTATATGAAAGGCCACCGAAGAAACCTGCAGAAAAGCCTGAAGAACCTCAGAAAGTGCCTATCGGAAAGGGTAAAGTGCCAGAGGAAGAAAAAGTGGAGCCGGAAAAAGTTAAGCTAAAGAAAATACCTGACAAGAAGCCGGAAGAAGAAGTAGAACCTCTGAAGAAACCTGTGAAGCAAGAACCGGAAGAAGAAGTCAAGCCAGAAAAGAAGAAGAAACCGAAAGTGAAATTGGAGCACGATGAACTCAAACCTTTGGACTTCGAGAGGCCGGAACTTGAGAAGTATGAACCGGAAGAGTATGAGAAACCGGAGGAACCAAAACCTGAGCCGGTGCCGAAACCATACGAGAGAGAAGAAAAGAAAAAGCCAGATCAAGAAATCGAACAGGTACCGATAATAAAAGGTGAACCGAAACCACCTGAACCAACAGAAGAACCGGAAGTAAAGTTCAGAATTCCGGAGAAAGAGAAGCCGGAAGAGGAAGGTGAGAAGATAACTCTGAAACCGTGGAAGAAGGACAAGCCTGAAGAAGAAGCCGAGAAAGAGGTGCCAGTGAAAGAGAAGGAGGAAGTTCCCAAAGTGCCGAAAGAAGAAACTGAAGATGTCACGATTAAACGTAAAGCGAAACCAAAGAAACCTAAAGAAAAGGCTCCTAAGGAAGAAGAAGTAACGATCAAGAAACCAGAGCCTGAAAAACCAAAAGAGGTGCCCGAAGTAACGGAAGAAGTGCCATTGAAAAAGGAACCAGAAAAGCCTGTTGAGGAAGCACCGGCCGAAGTGACAATCAAGAAACCAGTTGTGGAAGAAAAGGAGGTAGTAGAGGAAGAAGTTGAAGTCGTTTTGAAGAAGAAACCAAAGAAACCGGAAGAAGTGGTCGAAGAGGCTGTCGTGAAGAAACCAAAGAAGAAACCTGTGAAGGAAGAAGAAGTTGCGGAAGTGACGGTAAAAAAGCCTATCGTCGAAGAGAAGGTGGTTGAAGAGGAAGAAGTTAAGGAAGAAGTTGTAATAAAGAAGAAACCCAAAGAAAAACCTGTCCCTGAAGAAGTAACCGAAGAAGTGACACTGAAGAAACCGGAAGAAAAGGCACCAGAAGAAGTGACTGAAGAAATAAAGAAACCAAAGAAGAAGAAACCTGTCAAGGAAGAAGTTGCCGAAGAAGTTACTATTAAGAAACCGGTTGTTGAAGAAAAGAAAGAAGAAGAAGCTCCGGAAGAAGTTACCTTGAAGAAGAAGAAACCAAAGGAGAAACCGGTTCCAGAAGAAGTAACAGAGGAAGTTACATTAAAGAAACCAGAACCGAAAGAAGAAGTCAAAGTTCCAGAAGAAATGACGGAAGAAGTCGAATTGAAAAAACCAAAGAAGAAGAAGCCTGTAGTGGAAGAGGCTGTCGATGAGGTTACAATCAAAAAGGTCGTGGTTGAAGAAAAGAAGGAGGAAGAAGTTCCGGAACAAGTCACCCTGAAAAAGAAGAAACCAAAGGAGAAACCGGTTCCAGAAGAAGTCACAGAAGAAGTTACATTAAAGAAACCAGAACCGGAAGAAAAGGTAAAAGTTCCAGAAGAAGTG